TTTACACTATGACGATAACATCGACGATAACATCAAGGATAAAAAGCTAAAAAGCAATTGTTCATGTAGAAAATAAAAGAAACTAGAAGTTTTCACACTAGCACAATTCGATAACGATTTATTGTGTATACAATAAAAAAATAATTTCACAAATCAAATCAAATGATGTCATTTTATCTTTTTCCCATGATTATGATGTCATTTGATTTGTGAAATTATTTTGTTATCATATACATGATAAATTGTTATCGAATCTTGCTGGTGTAAAAACTTCTATTTCTTTTTTTTTCTATATAAACAATTGCATTTTAGCTTGTTATCACTGATCGTTACCGTCATAGTGTAAACAGTCCTTAACAATAAGTAAACTACACTCTATGAAAACATTAATCTCAGAATTATTACAGTATAATCCATAATCACCAATTCTAGTCAGAGGAAGAGAAGGACACAGCCATTTCTATGGGTTACTGTATCTTGTGTTTTCGCAATGAATAAACCAACCGATCATCATCTGTAATCTCATCATCAGGATCATCATACATCATGCTAATGATATAATTTAATAATAATTATATTGAGAATTCATGTATTAATATTAATATTATTAAAAATTAAAATCTTTTATCATTCTCCTTAAATGACGTTCAGAGCAATCTCACCAAAACATAGAGGCAACCACCTTAATAACCATATGTAATTTATTTTTACACCTGTTGAATAAATACCCCCTCCACAAAGTCACTTGGTATAAATACCCACTTGAATAAACATTCCAGGGTGTCTACCTTTCCTCAAATAAGTAATAATTAAAAAAAATATATAATAAAGTTTATTCAATATTATGTAAGTGGTGCAAGAATAATAATAATACGCTTATACAGTAGTTGATTTTAGCATGAAAATGTCAAGAAGTTGGTTGGCCTCCAATCAATAGTCTAAATGTAGGGTAGATTTAAAAATCGTCTCAAGACTCATCTCTTTAGTTTATTTTAATTTGCAAATTTCTAGCGCATAGAGACCTATGTATTTTGCGGTTTACAAATCCAAATTATTATTATTTATTATTAGATAAATAAAATTTAACAATAATATTTTGCCAATTTTTTTGCAGGGGGAGGGGCCAGTGTTCCTCTTTCAGGAAATGTTTTCATGCATTAATAATCAAAACTTCCTATCTATGTGATTAATAATTTCCATCTATTCTAGTGTGTGATTTACATAGTTAGTACTTAGTAGGCCCTATCGTACTTGTTGTACAGTAAATCTGATGACAGACCAGAAACAACAACACATCTGCATTGTATGGCAGAACATTACTACCTTGTACTGTTGGGCCTAGCTAGGCTAGGCTAGGCCATTACCTAAACATTGGTCAACAAAATTCATTACAACAATGTAAAACGAAGATTAAGCATTGAGTCTAGCGCTACTATTAACGTTAAACTATTTAAAACTATCTGAATCTATCCGAACAAAATCCAAACTCCAAAAAACACAGCTGTCATTTTGCGGGGGCGTAGGCTAGGCCTTGCCGAACAGACATGTCTTCACCGGGTAATCACACTTAACACCGCTACGATATCGACCGAAGACATCAACATTGACTTACTCTGCTCTAGCTGGCTGAAACATAATTATCTTACCCGTTTTGAAATGATTTTTACATGATAACGCCGATACTTGAAGAAGGAGTATACCCAAAGAAAGCATATAATTTCCAGTTGCAGCCATGGTTTAATAAAAGGGTATCGCCAAAACTTTAAAGAGAACCAATAGTGAGAGAGAATTTCAAGTACGTTCCATCTTCCCTTACTGAGTGTGTGCTTACTATTTTTATGTGCACAGTATGGTCAAAGAACCTAGATGAATATGATGACGTCATAATAACGCTCGATTAAGTACCTGTTTGATGTCACACGCGACATGATTTCTGTTTCCATGGTTTCAGGTACAAGACGCGACACTCTAAAAACGTGACAAAAAGTGATAGGCCTATAAATTTCAAAATGTGACTTATCTAAATATGAGAATTTATGAAAAATGTTTTTTTTTTTTTTATCATGATTTACAGGCCTATTAATTGTAGGCCTACTTGTTTTTTAGAAGCCTAAAGTTGTCAACGGTTAAGAAAGCTAGCTCCTCCTATACCTAAATGAAAATTATTTATTATTTTAATATATCTTATTTCATTATATTTTTCATATCATTTTATTATATTTTATTATTATTTAGAAAATGGAATTCATTTTATAAAAGAAATGTCAAAAAGAACATTTACAGTCAGCTGTCATTAGCCTATTAACAATCCAAACTTTAAACTGTTAAAAAAATGTAACAAAAGACATAACCGTGTTTTACAGCCTTATATAGACGAGCTAATAATAGCAAATCTCACAGACAGGGGCGACGCTAGTGGGGATACGGGTGTAAATCCCCGTCGTGGACCTCTGGAACCCCCACTGTACCACCCTGTCGGGGAATTTCCAGCAAGGTCGTCGGGGAAAAATCCAAGCTCGAACGATGAATACGATCAAGCATGGCTTATTAAGCTGTCAAATTTTAAGGGATTAAAAACTGCAGTTTTAGTGCGAGCAGTGCTACCGTATGTGCTAGGCCTGTTTTATACTATTGCGTTCGTATGAGTTGCAGTGCCAGTGGTGCTCCAGCTCTTCCCCGACAGGGGGGCTGGTACCTCCGACAGGGAAAAGTACCCCGACAGGGGGACTAGTACCCAAACATCCTTTTTAAATAAAGAATCTCATAATTAACACAAAATGTTACGGTATTATATTTCAATAAGAAAATTCCCCGACAAATTTAATTTCCGGGGGGGGGGGGTGGGGGGGGGCGTGCAACTCCTTTTCGGGGAGCTTGCTACTCGTCGGGGAATTCCTGCTCCTGCTCACAAGCTACTGTAAATGCTGTATATTAAACTTACGTATTAAAATACTGTACGTGTGGTGCAGTAGAGTGCTGTACCGTATACTTGCTGCTGTGTGTGGTGAATGCCCAGCAACTTTTCTCTACTTTGTGTTCAGTGATACTGAATACTGAAATGCCCCAAAAATGTTTAAAATCTAATATGGCCTATAAGCAGGTCAAGCCAAAAAAATAATCACCCCGATTACTAATATAATTCATGCCTACCTTCCAATTAAAGACCACTCAGCTGGGATCTGGGTTTTGGTGGTCTTTTAGCAACTTTGCTCTCTATATTACAATCCCTGTAATTAAAACCGGCACTAAAAGTGGTCTTACATCACTGTTTAGAGGCAAATTAAGAAATGATATAGTAAATGTAAGATCGTTTTATTTCAATTAGAATGAATTTGCATTTTTTCTGGGTATTCACAAATTAATTACAATTACGAACAACATCCTCCTAATAAAACTATCAGAGGCCTATTCAATAGAGCACTGTATACACAAAACATCATTATATGTTGTGTATTATTTTGATGTGTATATTCATATCACAATCATTATTTAAAAAAAAGAACTGCAATAAAGTCACTTCATAAATTGTAATGTACTTTATTTGAAGGGAAAATTTGTAGTTTACTTAGGTCTGCAAAAACCATATGATACATTTAAGTTTGAATGTGCTACTAACACAATCGGTGTTAGTAGCACTCTTTATATTTTAGAAGTAGTCCAATACTTAAAAGGTACAATTTTCAGTTTTCTGCGAAAAATGTCCATGGGTGTCAACGGGCATTTTCTCTGACGAGAAAGAACCGGACTTTGTGGCAATATAGGCTTCGCCTATAAACAGGACCGACAAAAAAAGAACCGTTCTTTTTGCCGTTCCAAAGAACGGTTCTTACAACAGTGGCACAGAATCAATGTAGGGCCTACGGAGAAGGCCAAAGAATCCTTCTTCGTCAAAAGTACCGTTCTTTGTTAGGTGGCCTACTTTATAGGTGCAACTATAAATAGCGGCCTAATTTGACTTTACGTTCAACCTAAATTGTAGGCTAGGCCTATAATATATATTACCAGTAGAATTGTTGAAAACGCCGGAATTGAGAATCAATAGACTTTTGTCTTGTCAGTAATTTAGGCCTCTTTATACGTGATTTTACCGTTGGACCTATTCTTATTAATTTCTTCAGTAATGATCAAAATGTTGGTGTTCCACCAGTTTAGTAATATTATAATTTATAATTAGGAGGAATAAGTACGGTAACTTCTATTCTCAACACAACTAAATAATTCTCTTGTTAGGCCTAAAGCCAGGCACCGGAGGAAAACGAAATTTATAAAGGATTTGTTTGAAATCCAGACATCGATTCCAGTATTTGTTTTAAGTAACTTTCCATTAAAATAATGCTAACGCCACCACTAATATTATTGTTACTCAATATAGGCCTATACACAAAACACACAAAACATCGTCTTATGATGTAAACTGGCTAATATTTTTATAACAAAATTTATTAAAGAAAAAAAAAATAGCATTAACATCACTATTTATTTTATAGTGGTCTTTAATTGGAGGGACATTTCCAATGGTCCACCCTCAAACATGGTCTTTGGTCTCTAAATAGAGGAGTCTTTAAATGGAGGGAACAGCTAATTTTAAAAGACAGGAATACAAACGTGACCACAGAAAAGTGTTCTTTAATTGGAGGTAGTCTTTAATTGCGGGGGTCTTTCATTTTAAGGATACCTGTATTAATAAAGAACTGTATCGTAATTTTCACCGTGTTTTACACTGAAATGGATGTTGAATGAAACTTGAATATTTGCCTATTATTGATAATCATTCTCATCACCTATCAATGTCATCTATTATCAACATCTTCATCAAAACTTTCGTCATGGTCATCGTAATCATCATCATCATCATCATCATCAACAACATCAATTATAATAATTTTGTTGTTTTCCGATGGATACTGGCCTACTGACTTCCAGTTCAGGAATGCCACAGGAACTCCAAACAGGATCACGCGCATGAACCGTCTGCCGTCAATTGACAGGGATGAAAATAATCTTTTTTGGTAGGTTTATTAAGAAAAGGTAGGCATAAACAGAAGCCTACTGCAAAATCAGGAACCTAATTAAGAAAAGGAAGAACATTTACAGTACTAAAACTAGTTGTATGTAACTCAGTTCGTCGCTTAAGGATTACCGTATGATGATGTTATTAATAATGATGATGATGATGACAATAATAATGGCAACGATAGTCTTTATGATGATGACAATGCCGATAATAATAATAATAATAATAATAATAATAATAATAATAATAATAATAATAATAATAATAATAATAATAATAATAATAACAACACTAATAATAGGCTACATGCTTATGAAGTTCAACAATTGTCTTCAGATTAAGAAATGTACTGTTATAATTGAATAATTTTCATATAGCCAGTATGTTTTTGACATCATTATAAGCCAAAATGAGTTTGGAACGATCAGTTTTCCTATAAAATATTGACTCCAGTTCACCAATCGTTTCCGTGATAATCGATATTTTCTTTAGCAGTTTAGTTCTCTCAGAAGCTAACTGGTTTGAGCGAGTCACTAACGTCCGCATATCTTCAAACGTGTTCTCGAGATTTTTTTTCTCAATCAATTTAAATTTAACATCCCGTTCATTTATCTTCAGTGACTTGGTCAAGGACTTGTGCTTCTTCACTAGAATTCTGATGTCTTTCTTAAGACCTAAAACATTGTCAATTTCTGGTGGTAAACTGTTACCTATAGCATTTTTGTTGAAGTTTAAAACATGCTTTCTCTCCAGGATTACTTTCTCTGCATCGTGTCTTTCACTTTCCATAATTCTTTTCATTTTAGTGAGTTTCTGAACGTCTTGTTCCATTTGGCGCAGACGTTCGCGCACTTCTCTAATTTTCACCCGAACGCGTCTTTCTACGGTTATAGTGAGTATGTTGCTATGTTCAAGCTCCAACGAATTGTATTCCTCTTGTTTCAAGCGCTGGAAGCGTTTTGTTTCAATTATTTTGAACTGAATATCTTCGAGATAAAGTTGGTCATTGACGCGCCATCTTCCCAGAAGATACAACACGTGATAAAACTTATGGACGACATCTGGAACCAGGCGTAATATTGGGTAGCGTCTGGTGTCACATGCTTCCGCGACTTCAAGCGAAAACTTAGCAGAACTGAAGAGCTTCGTATTCAAAGACGTTTCAGAATTTTCGACCATGTTCTCAATATTTGCAATAGAGTTTTTTAATTCTAGATTAATCTCTCGCACCCATTTCAAATCAAATTCCCCCTCGAGTGATTGGTAGTTCCGGCAGAAAGTCTGAACAATGGCATACACGTCTTTAATTTCATCAAGAAGTTCAATTAACATTAGCAATGCCCTCTTTAATGCGTCGACAAAAGCCTGTAGATTTTTTGTGCATACGGCATTTCTGACACCACCTGTTTGACGCATTTCTGTACAAGTTCGGAAAAACAGTTCTAGATCTTGCAGAGATGATATTCTCGGAACCAAGCTCTGAATGCACTTTACCCGATGCTTACTCTTAATTGTCTCCTCTACTTGTATGAGAAATTGAATTGGATCAACGTTACCGTAGAATTGCTTTTCAACTTTGGTTGCTAGCCTGGTCTTCAATGCTTTCAACTTTCTGTCGACGTAGTCGTAAACTTCCTGGATGCTGTTCGGGGAATTTTCTCCTTGCCAGTGTGGCATGCTTTCTCAATGCCTATAGATAAACCAACATTAGACTCATCAACAATTGAAAAAAATACGCTGGCTATAACACTGATTCTAAAATCATAAACAATCCTGATTAGATATGACATTATTTACTGGGATTACTCAGGCAGTTAAGTTGTTTATCTGTTTTTCACTGATAAAGTAATGTTACATTCAACAATAATTGACATTACTTAACATAACTTTAAATCACCTCGAAGCCAAAAGGCGTGCGTGTTTATCAAAAGATGTACGTATTATTTACTAGCCTATCGTTGCGTTGTCTCGATCTAAATCGATGAATATATATCTGAAAGCATAGACTAATAGCCCAAGCATATACATTATTATATATATATAT